TCTTGATGCAGCCTAGGATACAGTTGGCCTTAGTCATTTAAATAGCTCCTCTCTCCTCAGTGTTTAGGTGCCTGCTGCCGATCCAGTCCTGGATGGCAACTGCGGTTGCTTTTCGTCTTTGTGTGGTCTCTGGCAGCCAGGTGACCTTTGTCACGTCTCATCAAATTGCTTCTCTGCTTGCTGGCGTTTTCTAGGTCTCCTTGTCTGCGCCTGCTGAAGGTTTGGGTTGATAGTTCTTGTAGAGAATTGCGTGTGGTATTCTAATTGAGGTCTCACTGCTGCATTGTGAAATGCTGGTAAGGTTACCGTGTGCTTGTTGGTCAGAATACTTCAAGTACTGTATTCCCAAATGTGCCTTGCTTCTTCTATGCAGCTCTTGTTGCTTACTTACCTGGCTGCTGTGTCCCAGATCTGTCGCTGTGGACTGAGAACCTTCTGTGTTCATGGTAAATAAATGCCAGTCTGTCAGTTACTTTAGAACTAAGTTAAATTTCATTCCCCAGAGATACAGGGTCAGGACTTGTTCCTGGGTGTGTCTGTTTCTGCCTGTTGCGTTAACTGCACCTTTCAGGTGTACGGGTTTGCAACTTTTCAGCTGAACTACGTGGAGGGTAGGGTCTGGTTTGTTGTTGCAGACTGTTGCTGACCTGTATGAGTTTTCAATCTGAAGATGATCTCCTAGAGAGGCACCGTTAACTTACAAATGGCCGTGCTTAGGTTCCTCAGTGGTTAATTGGTGTAGTTCAGTAAATATCCTGTGTCAGTGCCCAGCTCACTCTTTCGGATTGTTCTGCAGGCTTCTTCTTCAGCCAAAGAAATAACCTATCGTTTTTCCCTTGGACAGTGCCTGGGCATCCAAAGGCAGTGTAGAGGCCAGATCTCACTATGGAGCGATGAGGCTTCTGCAGCTGCTTCTTCCTGTAGGCCCGGGACGGCTTGTGTTATTAGGTTGTGTCTCTTATTGTTGCAGCGGTGCGAGGGCCTTTCAGTTGCTGAATTCAGAGTGGGGCAAAAAGCACCAAATGGAAACAGAAACTGTGGGTATTTGTTCTGGCACAGGTGGAGATCCACTTGGAGGAGATACAGAACGAAGGTCTCCTGGTGTCTTGGGCATTCAAGGACAGACCAGACTTGAACCTTTCAGTTCTCCCGAGACTTCAACTTCGTGAGGTGAGTGGCAAACAGCGGGAGGCTGGACTCAAGCGGAGGAAGGTTGGGAGGGGCAGAAACAGCACTGAGCCAGGAGGAAGGCTGCTGTGGAGGGGAGAGGTTGGCAACTCGCTGTTGTGGCCTTTTGGGGTGAGGGAGGGGATCATTTTGCCCTGGAATCGGTACTAGCTCAGCTCTGTAGAAACAGCACATCCTCAAGAGGGCTGAAGCGGTACTGACATCTGCTGTCAGAGGCTTTCTGTCTCTGTAGATCCTCCTGCTGTTGTCAGATGTAGAGCTACAAAATGTGCTGCGTTGGTTCGGGTTTTCATGGGGTTTTTTTTTGTTTGTTTTGTTTGGGTTTTTTTGAGAGGTTAATGTGTGGACCCCATGGGTATTAGAGGTTTAAGGAGCTGAATGCGGGTGTGCTTGCACGTGATTCACATAGGTTGGTTGATCTGTTTGTTTTATTGACACCCTTGTTGCTTTATCCTGAGTAGATAGAGGAATTTGGCTGTTCTCCCAAAAGTGTGGTAATATCATCTCACGAGATGGTGAGGATGTGGAGAACTGGAAAAGCTGTATTGGCAAAATTTGTAATGAGTATACTACAGAAAGGGTAAAGGCTTAGTCTCATTTGGACAACTTGCATTCGCCTGTGGTTGTTACACGGAAGCTTGTAAGCCCTGGGGAGAGCGAGTACAGGTTACGGGAAGAGTACCCGGGGGGCTCTTTCTGGGAGAGAGACTGTGTAGAGTCTTAGAGGCTCGAGAGGCGGTTGGAGCTGCATAAGGGGAAAATGCCTCTGCCTCACTATGACTTTCCTTCTTTTCCTCTTACTTTGTGGAGAGAAGAATGAAGGGGGAGCGGATCTGTCCACCATAAAGGATCTGATTGAGGATACCATTGTCAGCACGCAGCCAGCCATGATGGTGAATCTGAAGGCCTGCAGTGCTGGAGCCGGTGCGGTAAGGCTCTCTCCTCCTGTCATTTTTGTGCCTCAAACACTGTGCCCCCGGGTGCTTTTGAGGGCCGAGGCTTGGGCAGGAGTCCAAGGGTTGAGACTCCCACCTCGCTTGCATTGTCCTACGAGTTGGGGTACTGTGGCATGGGGAGTAGGGATAATTAGAAATGGCTCTGAAGGGCAGCTCTGTTTGTACCTTGTTTCCTGAAGGCTGAGTGCCAGTTGTGTTGAGGTGGAGCCAAATTGCCTGAGATGCATCTCTGTTTTGGCAGTCTCTCTGTCACTCTGAATGCCAGGGCTCTGTCCACTGCAGCCTTTACAGGCATGGAACAGTCGTCAGTTTGTCATTTTTGGTTGTCCATCTGGCAGCCAGCAAGCTTGTTCTTGTCTGTCTCTTTTCCTGTCTGCCTTAAATTTCCCCTCTGAGATATCACGGGGACCCACTGGAGGTCGATAGCTTGGGTAACCTGCCGCATCTCTTGATGGCTCTGTGGGTATTTCCCACTTTGGTGTGAGGAGCTACTTAGTAGGTGCAAGGACAAAGTCATGTGTCTTGCTGCTGTCTGCTGGCGAGTGAACAATAAAGGCATCGGTCTCGCTCTCGTCATTCCTCAGGTACCCAGCAATAAGTTGATTCGAGAGTCCCCGTCCGGAGTAGCAGCAGCCCCTCTGGGTTCTAAGCTGTTGCTCCGGAATCTTCGAGTGCTGAACTTGGGCTGCCAGGGGAAGGGAGGTAAGCGTGAAAACATCGCTGATCTGCAGGGGTGAGCGCACAGGTCGTGAGGTTGGAGCGAGCAGATTTTTTTGGGTGGGTTTGAATGGAAAAAAGACGGACGTGCGTCCGCGGAGCTGCTGCGTCGTGTTGACGAGCGCACGCGTGTGCTCTGTCCATCTGTTGCAGGAGTTGCGGAGATACGCTGCATGGCAGAGCTAGACAGCCCGCCGCAGCAGAAGTGGACGAAGCCGGTGACAGCTGGCAGTGCCGGTCCCGCAGCAGAGATGGAGTGGAATGAGGAGCTCTTCCTGTAAGTCTGTCCTCCTTCCGACTGGCATGGAGGAGGCAGACCGGCACGGTCTCTGGGTGTCATTACTGCGCTGCAGCAACCAATGCAGGTGGCGCAGAAGTGAAATCTGCACCTCGGGGCAGCGTGTATTCGTGCTGCCTGCGAGCTGGGCTTGCGATTCCAGCAACTGGCCCCAACTTACTTGCATATTTCCTGCTCCCCTTGTCACTCTCTGTTTTAACTGGATGGGCAGAAGCACTGATTGCGGGAGCAGTTGGTGCAGAAGGCCTGGAGTGTAAATCTCAGCCTTCCAGACAGGTTGCCCTCTCAACTTCCCCTGGCAGCCTATGCAGCCCCACAGGGGACACGAATTGGGAGTTTTCCTCTTCTGTGTAGTTTGCTGCCCCTTGTCGTGTCCTCCAAAGCAGCGCATGCGTACCGGAGCTTTGGAAAAGATGATGAAGCGTGTGAGATGTGAGGGAGGGAAGATACGGACTGGGGTTGTTTGCTCCATGGCTGTTTTGCAAAGATGATCTAATACCAGCCTGTCTTCTTCTGTTTCAACAGGGAGTTGGGACCTAGAAGTAAAGAGCTGAAGCTACAGGTGCTGGGGAACAGTGACGGAGGGGGAGGTGAGTATGGGCAGCCGTAAGATGGATTGTAAGACGGGGAGACAAAAATGCCCAAGGGAATTCCTCTGCTTTGAGCCTGTGATAGTTCTGTGTCGGTACGATGTGTGATGAGCTCTGCAAAGGGTTTTTCATATCCAAATTTATGTGAGCCTCTGACTGTGTGAAGTAACTCTGGAGTCTGTTCTTCTTAGTGAAACGCTCTCACTCTTACCTTTTTGGTACCTGGGAGGTTCCTGTGGCCTGCCTGTCTCCGCTCTGAAGCGGGGAGAGGGGTGCGGCGATTTGCCCCCGTATATGGGAAGGACGTTGCAGAAGGTGCTCAACTCTGTTATTTGTAGTCAGTCAGGAACTAACTGCAGCACCTGTTTTTGACAGAGGCCACACAACTGCCGTCTCTTTAAGGGAGTAGATTTCTGTGTCAGTAAAGAGGAGTAGAGGAACCCTGCCTGCCCTCTCCCCACCTTGAACCTGGGAGCTGCCAGAGTTGTGGGGATCTGTTTTCTTGGCCCACGGGGCTGCTTCCTAAAAGCAGGGATTGGCTGGGAGACATCCAAGGTGCTGAGGTCGCGTTTTGTTTTCCTGTTCCTTCCGCAGATGTGCTGCTGGCACACGCCACACTTTTGCTTGATTCTTTGGGCAAACAACCATCTGGGAGACAGGTCTGCTCACTGGCCCCGGGAGCTGGGGGGTCACTGGCAGCTGAAGCTACCATCATATTGGAGGTGAGCTCACGAGTCCATAAGCTCGACACAAATGCGCGCTCCAGAAGTGTTCATGGTGCGAACCTCTCGCTGGAGACGAGTGTGATGAGGCCTGGGATTGTCTCAGGGGACTGGCAGACCCTTAGGCCGAGGAAGGGTATCCCCTGGCCCTCAGTCCTTGAGCCTCCCTACATTTGACCGATGTTGTAGTGGGGATGGCTCCTCGGTGCCCAGAGCCATAGCTTTTTTCACCCATATGCCTGCCTTTCTGTCTGGGAGGAGGAGACCCTCTCTGAGCTGTGCTTTACTCTTTGTAGCTGCTATTCCAGGAGTCTTCTGCGTCTTTGAATGCTCAGTACACCACATCTTTGCGAACCAGCATCACCCCCACTAAGAAGGTGGAGATGGACCGGACCATCATGCCCGACGGCACCATTGTGACTACTGTCACCACAATTCAGTCCCGGCCCAAGGCAGACTGCAAACTGGGTGAGGCTGCCCTGCAACCGGCGTCTTGTACAGGTGGCTGCTGCTGGGGCACAGACTCAGCCACGATATTCCCGAGGCCGGTCACGTGGGCGGTAGCAAAACCGTTTAGCCATTGTACATTGCCATCGTTGCAGACTCGCACCTCGCGTGATGCTTTGGGCTTCTGCCTCGGAACGTGGGCATCGTTGCTGTTCCTTTACTGGCTTGTGGCTGCAGACTCATGTGTACCCTTAGGGGAGGGAATTGATGCAACCCTGTGTTTGGGGGGAGGTGAGAGAGAGACGAGCCTCTCTGACACCCTTTGGTGGTGGGAGGTCCCGACTCCTAACGTGTATGCTGCTGCATAACCTCTGTGTGGTGCTGGGATAAGAGTTTTACCACTCGCTCTTTGTTCTCTTTGCCGATAAAGAAGTTGCGCTGTGTGTACTGAATGCAGTGCCAAAAGCGTGGTGACCTTGCTTACTAGTGGTTGTTGCTGCTGCCAGTCTGACATCCTGATTAATGTGGTGCTGGATATTCCACGAGATGGGGCTGGGAAACAGGACAGACGGGGTCTCGCGACGGGGCTGCTTCACGTGTCTTTTTCCAAAAGACACACTTCACATGTCATTTTTTTTACTCTGTTGCCGCAAAGCCGCACGGAACCAGCCTCTGCAGGCTCCCTATGTGCGCTTGAGCCTTTTTGGGGGTGTGCATAGGGAGCCACGATACAGTAGTGAAGTTGCCTAAGCTTCGTCTCCACTCACTGATGTTTCTCTGTTTCTGCTTCTCTTTTGCCATGAAGATTCACCATCAAGGTCACCTTCCAAGGTGGAAGTGACTGAAAAGAAAACAACAGTGCTCTTGGAGAGTGGCTGCCCTCGCGGCCCCTTGCCCAGCGGTAGCCGTAAGTGCTTGGAAATCTGAGGCTCTTAATGGAGCGACCATTCCGTAGCCTTTCTTGGAGGGTGGCAGTATGAATGTGGATCACTGAACTCCTCTTTGTTTGCCGCAGAAGAGAATAGGATGTCCAAGTGCCCAAGCAAAGGTGGGGGTGGAGGGGGTAGTGGTGGCTGGGGGCAGGGAAAAGAAATTTCACTTTAAGTAGCCAGTCCATGACTCTGGGTGTTGCCTTGCTTGACAAGAACATTCCAGACTGTCCGGACGCAAAGAGCTTTGCTCATCCTGTACTTGGGACTCTGATTGTCTCCAGGACAGAGCCCTGTGTCCATTTTGATGGTCGGTGGCCATGGCTGTCCAGACTTTTGTGAGTCTTTGCAAGTCTTTGTCGAGCGGGAGGGGTATTTTCATCATATGCCTGGTGGGAAATCAAACTTTAGGTGCCTACAAGAGCCGAGAGCTCTGTGGAGCTTCCTTCCTTTGATTTCTTTGGGCAAGAAGTCTGCAATAAATTCTCTTCTCTGCCTTCACACACATGTAGTTGCCTATTGCAAGCATCATGGTCAGCAAGCCACCTCTTGCCTGTGCTGAAGGTTGCTGCTTCAAATGTTGGTATCTTTCTTGTGCTCAGGGGATAGCCATATGCCCAACGGCTTGGATCCGGTGGCTGAGACAGCGATCAGGCAGCTAACGGAGCCGAATAACAAGCCTGCCAAGAAGACCCCAACAAAACGTAGCACGCTCATCATCTCGGGAGTTTCCAAGGTCTGTGGTAGTCTGGGGGCTCCATTACCAGTCTGGGAGGTTGTTTTCTAGGGGCGCGTACGTGAAACCAACCTGTCCCATAGGGAGCAGTGTGGGAAAGTTCCGGCAACTTGCTCGACAGAACCCTTTCGCTGCTTCCTTGCAGCTTGTTGCTGCTTCCCGGTGAGTGTCAAAGGTACCTCGCCAGTCTGCAGGACTGCTGCCTCTGAGAGTTCACAAAGGGCAGCTGCAGAAAGGGAGGCTGCTGCTGTAGCCAGTTGGGAACCTCATGGAGAATCCATGGAGTTCTCCTTGCACTTGGCTATGGGAGCGAGGGATGTGCCGCAGCACACTTCGGAATTGACTGTGTTCCAGTGTGTTTTGGGTCGGTTCTGTCTAGCACTGATGATCAGAACAGGAACCATCCATCTGTAGGTGTGGACAGAAGGGAGATGAATGCGATCCTTTAGACCCTGTCTTCCTGTCTGACTTTCTAACCTCCCTCCAGGTACCTATTGCTCAAGATGAAATGGCACTTTCTCTGGGTTACGCTGCATCCCTGGAGGCCACGGTGTACGGGGATTCTGCGGCAGAAGGTGCAGCTGACGGGATGCGTGATTCTACGGAACCGTCACAGCTGCCAGAAGCGTCACCCTCAGGACAAAGGGCCAGTCAGGAGCTGGACGAGACGACGCGATCGGACATTTCTGAGAGACCTTCGGTGGAAGATGTTGAGTCTGAAACTGGCTCCACGGGAGCCCTTGAGACCAGGAGCCTGAAAGATCACAAAGGTAAGGATGAACCGTTAGATAGTAGCTGACGTTAACCTGTTGTACTTGAGGGCAAAGTGTTCCGAGTTCCCCACCCCAGCGCAGGGGCTGCAGCCGGCTTTTGGTGTGGCGAAGAGCGGCTTCTGCTGGAGCCTGGAAGAACCGCCTCTCTCCCATGCTTCTGGCTGGAGCGGTTCTGAACTCTTCTGTTTGCAGGGCTCCGATTCCTGTGGCCTTTTCGGTCTCTGTGCTTTCTTAGATTGGAACCCTGTGTAGCTTGCGTGTTCCTGAGAACATGTTTTCAGTCCCTGGCCTCTGGGTCTGTAGATCAGGTGTGCCTCCATAAATAATGATGCCTACTGTGCCTCTGGCACTGAGGCTGCCCAACAATGTGGATTGTACAAGCCTCGATGCCCTCCCTCTTTCTCTCTTGGCATCCAGAGTAGCTAGTGGCTCTGACCTGTCGTACCGTAGGATGTCCACGCAAACTCTCTGCTTCTAAATGACGGGGTGCGCCTGCCCTGACCGAGCTGCTGTTCTGGGCTTCATGGGCTTGTGTCAGTTTAGGCGGATGGCGCATCTTGGATTTGTCTGCTTGTAGCCATGATGGTTTTGGTTGGCTACAAACTTACGTAAGCGAGTGCCAGCCAAAATCTTGATCATTCAGAATACCAGAGCAGGATGAGTTTTGGGGAGTTCAATTCTGGTATGCCCAGGTACTGTTTGAACTGTGGTGTCCCCTTGTTTGCACGTCAGCAGGTAGAAAGGTGTGTGGCCCAGGTTCTTGAGAGACCTAGTGGGCAGGAAAAAGAAGGAAGAAAACAGAAAGCCAGCCCCCTCTGTAGGAAATACTGTTGTAGCTTTGTCTGGCCTGCAGGTTTTGTATGTGCCTTTTTGCAGCCGTTATTGGCGTCTCCATCCTGTCCCACCCGCCGTGAGTCATCTGGAGCCATTGCTGTTATTTGTCTTCAGATTTGGGCATCTCGGGGAACTGTGGGCAGTTGTTCTCGGGGCTTGATGTTGGGCTAATCAGAGACAGGCTAGTCTGAGAGGCCTTTTCTCTCTTGTGTGTTCCTCTGGGTGTCTCCAGGTGCTGACACTCTCACTCGTTTTCCATTCCTGTGAGTCCTAGCTTTCTATTGCAGTTCTGTGCTCTTCCACTGAAGGGAGGACATTGTTGTGTAAAAGGAAATTTACGCAGAGGGTATGCGTGATGGCAAGCTTAGCAAAGCAGCTTGTTGGTGTCGCAGTCTGTGCTGAACGTGGGCTTTGCCTCGCTGGGATTCGCTGACCTGCCGCACGCTTCCGCTGCTCGGAGTGGAGGAGGTCTTTGCCACTCCTCTGAGGGCTGCTGGGGTGTTTATTGCCCCTGTGACTCACTGGGGCAGGATGCTATTGTGGTTTCCATCTCCTTCCTTTCTGTCTCTGCAGTTAGCTTTCTTCGGAGTGGTACCAAGCTCATCTTCCGGAGAAGGAGCAAGCAGAAGGAAGCAGGCCTGAGCCAGTCCCACGATGACTTGTCCAACGTCGCTGCCAACTCCACCGCCAGAAAGAAAGGTGGCAGCTTTTCCCGCCGCCTCATCAAGCGCTTCTCCTTCAAGTCTAAATCCAAACCCAAAGCTAGTGACGGCACAACAGCAGGTGAGAACTGAAGGAGGGAGAAGCCTGTCAGAAAGATTGTGCGGAGATCCTTTTCTAGTCTCTTGTCTTCCCACTCCATGGTATCTGTGACCTGCAGTCCAGTTCCTTCCAACCTTGGCTGAGGGAAGACACCCCAGTGCTTTATGCCATTTGGGGAGCGGAGACGGCAAACCTGAGTCTTAGGCTGCTCGTCTGCCTTGGCTTAGCCGTCTCTGACTGTCGTACCCCACCGTGCCCTCCCAGAAAATCCAGGTGGCGTGCTAAACCCCAAGGGGGTTCCAGGAGCTGCGGGAACGACTCTGCCTGCGTAGCTGTCTGGCATCACTGGGTGCGTCCTGGAAAGGTGGTGGTAGGGCTGCCTCTCAAGTGGCAACCCTCAGAGTTAAAGACCGAGAAGCTACTGGGTTACTGAGAAGCGTGGGATGAAGCCTCGCTCAGCTCTGTTAGTGAGAGAATGATGCAGTTGCTGGCCATCTAATTGCTCTCATTGCTTCTGCTTGGTGCAGAGGCCGTAACCTGACTGAGGTGTGGCGCGGGGCGACGTGTGCCTGGGCTGCGAGCTGTCTGGAGAATGAGCTGCAGTTCTCCACCTGGCTCTGCTGTTGGAACAGTCTCCGGTTCGGACAGTGTTGAGGGATGCCTGCTTTCTGTGCTGTGCTGATGGAAGAAGGAGTCTCTTAAGAAGAAGGAAGTTTTAACTGCTAGGCAAGTTTTTGTAGAAGCCTGTTCCCTTGCGAGGACATCTGGTCGATGCTGTCGGTGCTGATACCCCGTGACACAGCCCTCCTTCCGCATCCGTGAACGGGGAAGGGGCCGTGCTGCCTGCGCATGCCAGCTGTTGTACGAGCTGAAACCTTCCCGTCAGGGCTATTGCCAGGCACTTGCGGAGCGCTCGGCTTCTTGTGCTCTCGTGGTTCTGGTTCTGAGGGCCGGCACCATGCTGGAGATAGATGGCAAGGAACGTGGCAATGCTAGTGAAAGGGTGCTCTGACGTGGAGCCTGAAGCCACATGATGGAAAGAGGAAAGAGGCAAAGAGTTTACATGTTTTCACTGGTGAAAGGGTTTCCTGTAGTAGAAGGAGCCTTTATTGATTGCATCTGGTATTTCCTTTCTTCTAGCAAACCCGATCCACCGTGTTCAAACAGTGGGTATTTCTGCAGTGGGTACTTGCGGAGGGAGAGGCACGCAGAGGAAAATTGACTCTTTGCGTGGGAGGAGGCTGCCCTTCTAGATGAACGGTTCTCCGGTCTCGGGATGCACACACGTTGTGAATATCTCCAGAGGCCTGGTTCGGCTAGCATAAGGATGCTCTTTAGGGAAATGCTCGTGCCCTGTCAGCACGCCTGTTTGAACAGAAGCTCCTGCTCTCCTGTGGCCTGTAGAGTTAAGGAGATGGGGCAAAGGGGAGGAAAGAACCCCACTGAAGAGCGATCGCCTAGGCCTGACAGGATTCGCTAGCTCTGCTCTGCTGTTACAGTACAGGTCCCCTCCAGAGGTGGAGGCTGTCATCCTGCCTTACGCAGGATGTGACCGTCTGCAGGCGCAGCTGTTCTCTTGATGGCGTGCATGAAATGACGCGTCGTGTTCTTCAGAAGGACAAATCCCAGCTCACTGATACAGCCGTTGTGTGCAATTTCCAAAGACCGGAATGTGTTGGGTGTGCTGCTACAGAAGGATTTACAGGTGGAAATTTCAGGGTGTCTCTTGAAAGTGTCTGGAGGTAGGGAAGGCCAGAGTCACCTGGGGCTTGGATCAGGAAGGGTGGTGTGTCCCAGCAGACGGCACTTGCTTTCCTGTTTTTCCTGATGATTCACCACGAGCTCAGGCATGTGTGAGAAATTGGACTGGTCCAGCTGGCTGACCAGGAACCTCTTCTCCATCTGTTTGTTTTGGTCCAGGAGTCTTTCTGTCATCCTCGAGCTCTCTCATGTATTTATTTCTTCATCATTTATTTCTTTCCTTGCCCACATGGCACTGTGGCTTTGTTCACAGCTCCATGTGCTATGGATGTCAGAGTGCTCACTTTTCCTTGATGCTGCAGCACCGGTGGAAGTTGGTGATCTGCGATCCAGCTGCCGGTTTGACGTACCTTCCTTTGCTCGGTTCCTGTGGCATCACGCGTGGTGCTGTCCTTCACGGGCATGCCCCTTGTTCCCAGAGCCTTGGAGTTGGTTTCCAGGTTGGCATTCTAGCTTGCACTGTCCCCACTACGACTCTGCCTCTGTCACTAATGTTACTCGATGCTCCATTTTTGTTTATTGTTTTTTTAATACCGTGTCAAGGTTGCTTTGAATGAAATGTACTGGCTGAGCCCAGACAGCACTGCTTCTCCAGTGGGATGACTGTGAAATCTTGCACTGGAAATGCTGGTTTGAAGGGAAGGGAACTTTCAGAAGAGCCAGCAGCTCTTCAGTTGCGGGTTTATCACAGGACCTTCCACGAATCTTGTTTAATAGTCCTGTGTTCTTTTCTTTAAACTGCAAGAGCCGCTCAAGCTGTTGGGGTGTGGGGCAGCTGGAGGTGAATGCCCAAGGCTCCCACCTTCGCTTCTGAAACATGAACTCAGGGCTCATGTACACGAGGAGGACTGTGAGGGCTAGCAAGCCTTGTCCTTGTCGCTGTAGACCGGAGGTGGAAAAGGTAAGCGAGGTTCCTGTCCGAGAAACGTACCTAGATTTTGACCGGCATATTTTGGTCTGGCTCAGAGGAAGGACATGATAGGAAAGCTAGGAGCAAAACCAAATCTTGGGTTCCCTGCCAGCCTTGTGGTCCGAGGATCCCTTTCTAACCACTTTAAATGAGCAATTCCTGCCATACATCTGTGGGTTTTCCTGAATTTATTCCTGGTTTGTTTGCTCCAGGCCATGCCTGCTGATGAATCACAGCGAAGGTACTGGTTTTGATTTTGAGCTTTGACCTGGGAGAAGGCTCATTTGGGAATCTCCTGCACTGCAGTCCGGGGAACGAATGCCACACAGGATGCACGATGGTGGTGTGTATCTTCCCTTGAATTTTTGGCAGTGGTTTTTATCATGGGCAGTAAATTGCTGTGGAAGTTTGTATCTGGTTAGCTAGCTTGCAAAGGAAAGGGATTTTGTCACGTGCTGACAGAGCACATCCCCAAACATTGATTCCCGCGCCTGCTTGCGCTTCCTAGTGGAGATGTGCTTTCTGCCCTTTCGTTGCTTCTCAAAATCATCCAGCGTAGGACTGATATTGTAACTTTTTATCTTCTTCTAAACATTCTCAGTAACTGCTGGCTGTTTTTTATGGTGTTTGGGTAGTAAGCTGCTGTTTGAAGGACAGAGGGGTAGGGAAGAATGGCTCAGCTGTGTGCACCGGGAGTTTCTTAGTTCTCATACGCTCCTGATTAACTTGTTGATCCTTTCTCTTTGTATCCATACACGGCTTCCTTTCCCACACGCACACAGTTGTTTTCATCCCCCAAGTAGCAGGCATCTGGTTTTGTTAGTCCTGGCTATGCAAGCACAGGTGACTCTCCTAGCTTCGTGAAGCCAAGAACGATAACAAATCTGCCTTGTCGGGGAGGTGTGATTATTGGTGTGAGAAGCAATTCTTCTGTCCAGGTCTTCTCGGAAGGAAAGGGAAGATCATGTGGGTCTTTGGCTGCCAGAAGCTGTAAAGACAGAGTCCCAAGGAGTTTCACCCCATAGAACTGCTGCTTAAAGAAATATCTTTTTTGTATTAATCCCTGCTTGTACTTCTGGCTTTAGGGCAGAAGAAGTGCTATTTGAAAGCTACTTTCCCCTGTTCAACTTCTTTCGGCTAGCCACACCCTCATCTTGGTGCTTTTGCGAGGCCTGGGGCATTTAGTAATGTCTGGGACCACGGAGCAACCCCAGTGCGTGGCACGGGCCACCATCTAACATTTTAGGCTAGAACAATCTGCAGTTGCCCGGTTGCTGCCTCGGGGTAGGCTCGGTATTTGCTCCTTGTGAAATCAGTCCTTGACCGAATATGCGGGGGAAGAGGAGTGGCAGAGTGGCGGGCTGGAATGCACGGAGGCTTATGAAGGACTTCAACCTGCTTATGAGGGCCTGTGTTCCAAATGCTGCTGGCTGCACAAGTAGAAACGGTGACTGGTAAATGAAGCCAAAGTATACGTTTTGGGTTGGGTTGTTTTGTTTTGGTTTTTTTTTTGCTAGTTTGGCTGAACAGAATTCCTAGGACTCACCTACGCTGTGTACTTTTACTTTTCTGAAGAAAATACATATCTTTAGCTGTAAGTATTCTTGTAAGTATATTTCTGTCTGCATACATCCTCTGCCCATGTCTCAGTAA